TCAGCCCCGCTAGGGCCTTTCCCTGGGCCTAGGCNAGGGTTAGGGTTAGGGTTAGGGTTAGGGTTAGGGTTAGGGTTAGGGTTAGGGTTAGGGTTAGGGTTAGGGTTCTCGGGGCTAAGCACGGCTCTGGGGCGCATGGGCCTCGGAGCTGCGGCCCCGCAGCAGTTGCGGTGCCCATAGGGTTAGGGTTAGGGTTAGGGTTAGGGGTTAGGGTTAGGGTTAGGGTTAGGGTTAGCGTTAGGGTTAGGGTTAGGGTTAGGGGTTAGGGTTAGGGTCAGCATTAGGGTTAGGGTTAGGGTTAGTGTTAGGGTTAGGGTTAGGGGTTAGGGTTAGGGTTAGGGGTTAGGGGTTAGGGTTAGGGTTAGGAGTTAGGTTTAGGGGTTACGGGTTAGAGTTAGTGTTAGGCTTAGGGGTTAGGGTTAGCGTTAGTGTTAGGATTAGCGTTAGCGTTAGGGTTAGGGTTAGGATTAGCGTTAGGGTTAGGGGTTAGGGTTAGGGTTAGGGTTAGGGTTAGCATTAGGGTTAGGGTTAGGGTTAGGGGTTCGGGTTAGGGTTAGGGTTAGGGTCAGCATTAGGGTTAGGGTTAGGGTTAGGGGTTAGGGTTAGGGTTAGGGGTTAGGGGTTAGGGTTAGTGTTAGGAGTTAGGGTTAGGTTTAGGGGTTAGGGGTTAGAGTTAGTGTTAGGGTTAGGGGTTAGGGTTAGCGTTAGTGTTAGGATTAGCATTAGCGTTAGTGTTAGGGTTAGGGGTTGGGGTTAGGGTTAGGGTTAGGGTAGGGGTTAGGGTTAGGATTAGGGTTAGAGTTAGGTTTAGGGCTTAGGGCTAGTGTTAGGGTTAGAGTTAGCACTCCAGGCTGCTGGCCTAGTGGGTTAGGGTTAGGGTTAGGGTTAGGGTTAGCGTTAGCGCTCCCGGCTGCTGGCTCATTGGGTTCTCAGTTGCATGTGGAATCCTCCCAAGCAGGGATGGAGCTCATGGCTCCTGCATTAGCGACATGACTCTTTACCTCTGAGCCTTCAGGTAAGCCCCCAGTTAATGTTTAGACTGGATTGGAGTAGGTGGTGACTATGACTCCCCCAGTACACCAAACGACTTGCTTTCACCGAGCCCACCTTAGGCTAACGGGCTAATGTTACCGAAAGTGCGGCCTAGCGCTGGATGCTCGAAAGTTGAAACTCAAGAGGCAAGCCTCGTGGAAAGGAAAGCTTTCTTTATTCCTAAGGCAGGCAGCCTGGTGGAGGATCGGGGAAGGGCACGTCCGCAGGTTGACTCCCCGTCCCACAACCAGGGGGAAGGAGCTTTTATAGGCAGAGGGAGAGGCTACATGCAGAAACAGTACCATCAGCTCTGAGAGTCATCTTGAATTGGGTCATCGGTGGTTAGGGGGAGGGTGGGGTCAGGGCCAAACCCACACGTCCCCAGCCTCCTTGACAAAGGAGGGCAGAGAAAAAAGGCAGAGGGTCCCTGGCATCCGGGCACCAGTGTCAGCCTGTCCCCACCAGCAACAGTTGATGAGGGCACAGTGGGGGCAGTCTTGCCCTCCGCGCCACACCCTGCCCACTCTGCCTCATGAACAACTGGCGTGGGAGAGGAAGGCAGGAGTGGGCACGGCTCTGGACAAGGCAGAGACATGGGCAGGGGGCCAAGACCTGTCCTAGGAAGAGTGGTCCAGGGTTGTTTAGCCTGGCAGGGGGTGGGCACAGGGGCCTCCACAATCCCCTGGGGGAAAAGCCAAGACCAAAGAGAGGGCCTAATCACAGTCATGAGAGCTGCCATTGATTAACCATCAATGCTCTGCCAGGCCCTACACCGAATACTTTACATACATGAGTCACACTGTGACCAAAACAACTCTAATAAACAGGCATAGGGATTATTATCCCAATTTACAGATGAGAAAACTGGAGTGTGCCCAGCTGGGCAGAGACAGAGACAGAGCCAGGATGCAAACTCAACTTGGCTGCCTCCAAAGCCCAGGCTTTTGACTGCTCGTTCTGAGAGACTAGGTCAGAGAAGCAGATGGCAGCCCAAGTGAGAGGGAGCTTTCTACTACATGGAGCTCCTGGAGATGGTCCCTGCCACCTCCACAGGTAGTGAGCTCCCTGACCCTGGAGGTGAGCAAGCCAGGGCTGGGCCCCCACTGGTCAAGGAAGTGTTAGCTGCCTTTCTGGCCCTCAGTGGAAGGTTGGGCCTGAAACACTTGTGAGTTCATTCATTCATTCTCCTCTTGTGTGGCTGGGACTTTAAGAGTCTCAGCTGCCAGGGGACATCTCAGCCTAATAATTCCCTACCTTCAGGCTTCTCTGTCCTCCAACTGATTGTGAGATTCAATGCCTCTGAAATTCTAAGTCTCAGATTCTATGACAGATGATAAGACTCTCTGATTCACTCATTCGAACATTCTTAGCTTCTGATTGTCTTATTCTAAGATTCTATCATTCTAATTCTAAGGTTCTTTGGGCTCAAAAATTCTGAGCTGAAGATTCTATGAGCCTCTGTAGGTTGGGGGGTGTAAGGAGGAGGGTGTGGCTGTGCCTGAATAAACTGTAAGCCGGGGGTCAGAGCAGTGTGCGCGATTTGCGGGAACAGCCGGCCAGAGTGCTTCCCAAACGGCCTTTGGAGGCAGGCGGGGAGGTAAGCCGGAGGGAGAGGGCCGGTGCTGCTGGGAGGCCCCACAGGCCAGAGGCACAACCCAGCGAGGCCCCTGCCCTTGGCCAGCCTTGCCCAGGCCTTCCTGGCGTCCAGGGCTACTGCCCCACGAAGGGGCAGGCTGCAGGGAGTGTGTCCAGACATGCACGGGCACCTACCCCAACTCAGCCCCGCTAGGGCCTTTCCCCTGGGCCTAGGCCTCAGCTGAGGCCTACTGGGTGGGAAGGTGCTGGCAGGGGCTGTCTCCACACTGCAACGTCCCAGGAGGCAGAGCCTTCTGGCAGAGGGAAGAGGGGAGCAACGGGGTGGATGCCCAAGCCGTCTTTGCCCCAGCTGCCTCAGGGGAGCAGGGAGAGCAAGAGGCCCACTGTGATCCTAGGTCGGCTCTGCCTCTTCCCACCCAGGCGGAGCTGCTGGGGCTGCCAGGGAGCTGCCTGACAGACTCTGGCTCAGCCGAGCTCTCTGAAGGGGCAGGGGGCAGGAACAGACGTGTGCATGGAGTTGGGCCTTGGCCTGGGAGTGTGGACCCCCGAGCTGGTCCCCAGGGCCGGGGGCCGGGGGCCGGGGGGCGGCTTGCTATCTCCTCTCTCAGCCCAGGAGGGTCTGTTCTCTGTCCCTACTCCTTCACACCGGGGCATTTCTGGGGTAAGCCTCCAGGTTTCTGGTGGGAAGCGGGCACCGGCCCCTCTAAATCATGAGAGTTGGGGTCCTGTTAACCGGTGTCTCCTCCAGGCACAGAGACTCCAGCACGTCTTCATCCCTCCCCCCCAGGCTGGAGGCTTTACACAGCGGGGGCTGGGGGGGTGGGGTGGGGGTCGACTGGCCGGAGCTGGGAGTGACTGGTTTTGCCTGCTCAGGGGGCAGTGGCCAATACTATTAGTAGACATTTTAAACTTTTCTACTTTTCGAACTTTTCATTTTTTAAATATTTCAAATGTAGACAAAAGTTCCCTCAAGTGGTATGAACTCCCCTATACTCTTCACCCAGATTCCCCAAACACCATGCTCCGTTTCCCATTTGCTCCTCCTTCCTCCCTCTCTCCCGTTAGTATTGTCACTGTCTGTTGCTCTTTGGGGGAACCACGTGGGGTTTTTCCATTGACAGTTATGACATAATCACACTGCAGTGATCAAAATCAGGAAGTCAGTGTGATGTGATCCTTTTATCCAATTACAGATCTTATTCAGGTTTTGCCAGCTGTCCCACTGATGTTCTTTTAGCCCGTGGCTCAGAGTGAGGAGGGGACCCCCTTCTGTGCTTTACACGCAATGAGTCACACAGTCTGTTCTGGGCTTTGCAGCATCACAGCCCAGATGCCACCATCTGCCATGTAGCCCAGCCTAAGGAACGGCGGCCAGAGAGAGAAAGGTCAGCGTTTCTCAGGGTCGCTGTCCACAAAGGCCCGGCAGAAGGTGTTCTAGACGTGACTCCTAAGCTGAGCACAACTTGAGTTAGCACAACTGAACGAGACTTTCACAGTGAAATCACGGATAAAGGTCAGATGTTTGTCAGCGTCACCACTGACGCTCATCCCAGCATCTGTCATGCAGAAGATACTAATATACACCTGAGGGATGAGGAGACTGAGCAACAGGAAACAAAGATGCTTCACAGGCAAGTGGAGAAGGGCTGACCCCTTCTTACCCCCCAGAAGGGTGACTACAGTGCAGAGACAGCGACTGCAGTTAGACAGTGAGGCTGGCGTGGGAGTCACCCCAGGGTGTTGCTCAGGAGAAATCCAAAGAAAATCCCAATCTGGCGAATGCACAGTCTAGTCGATCTTTCCCATAAACGGCAGCACGTCCCTGAAGAGTCTGCACCCTGGGCTGTATCAGGCAACCTGGACGTCCTATGACTTTGGGCAAAATTCCTACACTTGATAGTAACATGTGTCCAGATCCCAGATGGCATCTGGATGTCCAGATGACAAGGTTACACCCCCCCCCCCACACACACACAAAAGCACTGCTCACCAGGGCGGCCACCTTGCTTGGCCAGCTTCACGTACTCCGAGTCTGTCTCCTTCACCCAGTACCTCCGCATTCCGAGCGTGTGCCCGCTGGGGGCTTCCCTCAGGTCGCTGAGGCCAGGAATCTGCGATGCTGGTGGGGCATCCATGGCCTTCTCTGACTGCTTCACAGGAAGGTCGTAATACCAGTCTAGGGAAGAGGCGGCCCAGGGTCAGGATGTTACTCATGGAGCCCAGGCTGGCTTGGTCCCCTGCCCAGGAGACATCAAGGAGGGCGTCTCACCCTCCCCAGGACACCAGCAAAGCAGAAACTGCCCTCTTCTGAACACCTGCTACCTGATGCATCTCCCTGCCGGTCATGTAGTCAGCAGATCCTAAAGGCCGCCAGCAGCAGCCACAGTGCCCAGCAGGAGAACACCCTCAAGGAGGCTGGCCGGCCTCTGCGCCCAGCTGCCCCGCTGTCCCAAAGCAGTGAGACCAGAGCCCTTTCCTGGGGGTCTTAGCCTCCCAGTGAGGTTTCCAAATTCCCTACATGTGTATCTCTCTTCTCCTTCAATCTTCCCTGAATTGGGACTTGACTGCATTTCTGGACATGTCGGGGAGTACATATTCCTGATGGAGCAAGAAATGGCAATTCACTCCAGTATTCTCGCCTGTAAATCCCATGGACCAGAGGAGCCTGGTGGGCTATACAGTCTATGGAGTCACAAAGAGTCAGACATGACTGAGCATGCGTCATGCACCCACACATTCCTAAAGGATCCAAAATCACTTAAAACATGGGCAAGTCTCTGGACTATGTGGCCAAAAGTTGGCCAAGATTTGATCAACTTAGACTTTCAAAACACTGAGATTTCATGATAAAAACTCTCACCAAAGTGGGCATAGAGTGACCTATTTCAACATAATAAAAAGCTACTATGACAAACCCACAGCCAGCATAATACTCAATGGTAAAAAGCTGAAAGCCTCCCCACTAAGCTCTGGAACAAGACAGTGATGCCCATTCTTACTACCTCTATTCAACATAGTACTGGAATCCTAGGCAAAGCAGTCAAAAAATAAAAATAAATAAAAAGTATTCAAATTGGTCAGAAAGAGGTAAAATTGTTATTATACACAGGTGACATGATAATATATATGCTGCTGCTGCTGCTAAGTCACTTCAGTCGTGTCCGACTCTGTGCGACCCCACAGACGTCAGCCCACCAGGCTCCCCTGACCCTGGGATTCTCCAGGCAAGAACACTGGAGTGGGTTGCCATTTCCTTCTCCAATGCATGAAAGTGAAAAGTGAAAGTGAAGTCGCTCAGTCGTGTCCAACTCTTAGCGACCCCATGGACTGCAGCCTANTCCCTGGGATTCTCCAGGCAAGAACACTGGAGTGGGTTGCCATTTCCTTCTCCAATGCATGAAAGTGAAAAGTGAAAGTGAAGTCGCTCAGTCGTGTCCAACTCTTAGCGACCCCACGGACTGCAGCCCACCAGGCTCCTCCGTCCATGGGCGTTTTCAGGCAAGAGTACTGGAGTGGGGTGCCACTGCCTTCTCCAGATACTATATACAGAAAACCCTAAAGACTCCACCCAAAAACTACTAAAAATGATAAATGAATTTAACCACATAGCAGGATACAAGATTAACATACAGAAATATGCTGCATTTCTTTGTACTAATAATGAAATATCACAAAAGTAAAGTTAAAAAAAAATTCCTTTTAAAATAGCATCAAAAATAAATAAATAAAATAAAATGCTTAGGAATAAATCCATCAAGGAGGCAAAAGACACATATGCTGCTAACTGTAAGGAAAATTGAGGGTGATTTAAAGAAATGGAAAGATATCCCATGCTCCTAGGTTGGAAGAATTAATACTGTTAAAAAGACCATCCTACCCAAAGCAATTTACAGCTGTAACATGATCCCTATCAAATTACCCATGACATTTTTCACAGAACTAGAACAAATAATCCTAAAATTTATATGGAATATTAAAAGATCCAGAATTTTCAACCAATCTTGAGGAAAAAGAAAAAACTGGAGACATAATTCTCCCAGACTTCAGACAATACTACAAACCTACAGTAATCAAAACAGGGTGGTACTGGCACAAAAACAGACAGACCAATCAATGGGCTAGAATAAAGAGCCCTGAAATAAACCCACACACCTGTAGTCAACTAACCTTTGACGAAGGAGGCAAGACTATACAATGGGGAAAAGACAGTCTCTTCAGCAAGCGGTATTGGGAAAGCTGGACAGTCACATTTACATCAATGATACTAGAATAGACTTTCTTACCATACACAAAAATAAACTCAGAATGGCTGAGAGAAAAATATGACATGACACCATAAAGCTCCTAGAAGACAGCACAGGCAAAACATTCTCTGACATAAATCATAGCAATGTTTTCTTAGGCCAGTTTCCAAAGGCAATAGAAATAAAAACAATAAGAAACAAAGGGGACTAATCAAACTCACAAGCTTTTGCACAGCAAAGGAAACGTAAGCAAAATGAAAAAACAAACTATGGACTGGGAGAAAATATTTGCAAACTATGTGATGGACAAAGGTTTATGTCCAAAATACACGAACAGCTCATATAATGCAATAACAACAACAAAAAACCCAAACAACCCAATCAAAAAATGGTCAGAAAAGCTAGATAAACATTTCTCCAAAGGAGACATACAGATGGCAGACAGGCACAACATCACTAATTATTATTGTTGTTATTGTTCAGTCGCTAAGCCATGTCTGACTCTTTGCGACCCCATGGACTGCAGTATGCCACACTCCCCTGTCCTTCACAGTCTCCCAGAGTTTGCTCAAGTTCATGTTCATTGAGTTGGTGATGCCATCCAACCACCTCATCCTCTGTCACTCGCTTCCCCTCCTGCCTTCAGTCTTTCCCAGCGTCAGCGTCTTTTCCAATGAGTCAGCTCTTTGAATCAAGTAGCCAAAGTATTGAAGCTTCAGCTTCAGCATCAGTCTTTCCAATGAATATTCAGGGTTGATTTCCTTTAGGACTGACTGGTTTGACCTCCTTGCAGTCCAAGGGACTCTCAAGAGTCTCCTCCAGCACCACAGTTTGAAAACATCAATTCTTTGGTGCTCAGCCTTCTTTATGGTCCAACTCTCACACCTGTACATGACTCCTGGAAACACCATAGCTTTGACTATTTTGGCCTTTGTCAGCAAAGTAATGTCTCTGCTTTTGAATATGCTTTCTAGGTCGGTCATAGCTTTCTTTCCAAGGACAAAGCATCTTTGAATTTCATGGCTGCAGTCACCGTCTGCAGTGATTTTGGAGACCAAGAAAATAAAACCTGTTACTACTTCCACTTTTTCTCCTTCTACTTGCCATAAAGTGATGGGACTGTATCCCATGATTTTAGTTTTTTGAATGTTGAGTTTTAAGCCAGCTTTTCCACCTTCATCAAGAGGCTCTTTAGTTCCTCTTCACTTTCTGCCATGACAGTGGTGTTATCTGAGGTTACTGATATTTCTCCCAGCAATCTTGGTTCCAGTTTGAGCTTCATCCAGCCTGGCAATTTGCATCATGTACTCTGCATATAAATGAAATAAGCAGAGTGACAATATACAACCTGACATACTCCTTTCTCAACTTTGAACCAGTCTGCTATTCCATGTCCAGTTCTAACTGTTGCTTCTGGACTTATATACAGGTTTCTCAGGAGGCAGGTCAGGTGGTCTGGTATTCCCATCTCTTTTAGAATTTTCCAGTTTGTTGTGATCCACAGTCAAAGGCGTTAGCGTAGTCAATGAAGCAGAAGTAGATTTTTTTTTTTTTAATTCTCTTGCTTTTTCTATGATCCAACAAATCATTTGATCTCTGGATCTTTTGCCTTTTTTAAATCCAGCTTGTACATCTGGAAATTCTCAGTTCATGTATTCCTGAAGCCTAGCTTGAAGGATTTTCAGCATAACCTTTCTAGCGGGTAAAATGAGCACAACCGTACCACAGTTTGAACATTCTTTGGCATTGCCTTTCTTTGGGAATAGAATGAAAATTGACCTTTTCCAGTTTTGTGGCCACTGCTGAGTTTTCCAAATTTGCTGACATACTGAGTGCAGCAGACAGATGCACATCAAAACTACAATGAGGTCACTGTAGTTCTGTAGACTGGTCATCATCGAAAAGTCTACAAACAAAAAATGCTGTGGGTGGGGAGGAAAGGGAACCCTCCTACACTCCTGGTGGGAATGTAAACTGGTGCAGCCATTATGGAGAACACTATGGTGCTTTCTTATGAAACGAAAACAGAACTACCATACAATCCTACAATCCACTCTTGGCAATACATCTCGAAAAGAAGAAAACTCTAATTCAAAAAGTTACATGCGCCCCAGTGTTCACAGCAGCACTATTTACAATAGTCAGGACATGAAGACAACCTAAATGTCCATCAACAGATGAATTTATAAAGGTGTGGCACATATGATGGAATACTACGCAGCTGTAAACAAGAATGGACTAATGCCACTGCAGCAACGTGGACAGACCTAGAGGTTATCATACCAGGTGACGTGATCAGATGTAGAAAGACAAATACCATGCATCACTCACAAAGGGAGTCTTAGAAAATGAGACAAATAAACTTCATTACAAAACAGAAACGGACTCACAGACATAGAACACAGACTTAATGACGACCAAAGGGGAAAGATGAGGGGAGGCAGAAATTAGAAGGTTGTGATTCACAGGTACACACTGCTATATATGAAATAGAAAATCAGTAAGGAACCACTGTCTAGCACATGGAATTATACTCAGTATCTTGTAATAACCTATAATGGAAAGAATTTGAAAAAGAATGTGTATATATATGTGTAACTGAATAACTTTGCTGTACATCTGAAACTAACACAAACCACATTGCAAATCACCTATATACTTCAATTAAAACAAACATACTGAGACAGAAGTAACAGCTTTGGTGAACAGGTTTGTTAATTTGACAGTAGCAGGACCGAGTGCCACCTCAAGAAGGCTGGATGGTGAACAACCTGACCTGACACCCACCCCCGGGGGGCATCCTGGCAGGCCCTCCTGCCAGATGCTGACCGCACTCGCTCCGCACATGCCCCTCAGCTTTCCTGTGGCTCGAGGCGGGAAGCAGGACATCCTGAGAGGTCAGATGGGAAAGGGGAGAAGCACCCTGATGGGCTGCTGAACAGAGAGGCAGGGGCTTTGCCCTGGGCAACCTTGCGCTGTGGGAACACTCTCAGGCTGCAGATTGGTTGGGGGCTGAATGTGGCTCCCGTGGAAACATCCAGTTGGGTCCCACAGAACTGAAGTGTGGTGAGTACAGATAAAGGATGTGTCCAGTGGTTAAAAATCCGTCTGCCAATGCAGGGGACGTGAGTTTGATGCCTGGTCTGGAAAGATCCCTCATGCAATCTTGGAGCAACTAAGAGCGTGTGCCACACTCCTGAGGCCATGAGCTGCGACTCCTGAAGCCTGTGCGCCCCAGAGCCTGCGCTCTGCCTGCCAGGGAAGCCACTGCAGTGAGACGCCTGCACGCCACAGCAAGGAGCAGCCCCGGCTCACCACAACCGGGGAAGGTCCGTGCGAGCAGCCAAAATAAACAAACACATTTTAAACAGTGTATGAGACTTCTAGCAGATGAGAGCTGATAAACAGGAGGGTGGGAGGGCAAAGGGCGATAAGTGAAGGCCAGCTTACTCTCACCTCCCTCTCCACTGATCTGCTGGCCCCTACCTCCCCTAGAGAGTGGTCACGGGTGGTGAGCGGAACAGGCCTTGGCAGAGCCGAGGCCCCTCAGTGGGCACTCAGGACGGAACCCTGCAGGTGGCTTGGGTGACCACCTGTGAGGGTCCCTGCCAGGAGCAAGAGGTGTCGGCAGAAGCCCGGGGACCTGCAGTTATCAGGCCCACTCATAATCCCACAGAGAGAAGACACTCCGGGCTGTTGCTGTTCTGATGACACTCTGCATCTGAAACTGATGAACCCACATGTCCAAATATAAGAACAGACATCACAGCTGACTGAGAATTAGGGGAACAAAATCTAGGAGGGGTGTGAAATAAAAAAGACGCCACAACCATGGCACAAGTGTCTCTAGAATTTAAGAGCTTACTGGAACCAGCTGTCCAAAACGCATGGCAGTCAGGGTCTAACACAGGACCAGCTCCCGGCAGGTGCAATGGGTGATTTCCAGAGTCCACTTGGCTAGGCCACAGTTCCCAGACTGAGGTCTCCTGAGAAGGAATTCTGCCCCCAGATGGCCTTCCAACCCAGGACTGTAGCATCAGCTCCTTCTTGGCCTGCTCCACAACTGTGTGAGCCAGTTCCTTAAAATAAATCGATGTCTCAGTCAATCTCTCTTTCTCTTTCTAAACACACACACACACACACACACACACACACAGGCACAAATGTTGTTGGGCTCTAGAGAATTCCGAGTGGTACAGCAGGATCACAGGAATACAGTGCTGAATAGATGGCTTTACACAAGCACACACAGATCCCAGGAACAAGTCACCTTCCTCCACAGCTAAAAGTTAGCCATGCAGTTTCTACTTAGAACTACAACTGAGTTCACTGTGTAAAAAATGAATGTTCATGGAAAAATCTTTAAAATATCTAAACAACAGTAATGAGATGAACACTGTAGTGAAAACACAATAGAGGGAAAGGGAGAAAAGAGAAAAAGAAGGGAAAAAAAAAACAACAGGAAAGCTTTAAAGAAGTTTGCCTGAGCTCACAGAGTTAGTTTTAGAACCAGGAGGAAGGGCTTAGGAGCATCATATCTGATCATATTCAGCTCAAATATTTTCTTTCAGAGGGAAGGCATTCGGTTCTTGCTTTATTTTTCCTCTCTGTGTTTTGATTACTAATTAATCCACAGAGAACAGAGTAGTTTCTACGTCTCATTACTGGAAGCTTCGGGCAGGGACTGAGCTCTACTGTGGTTGGCTGTTTATGATGGCGTGCCCTGCTCAGAGTCAGCACATGAGTCACTGTGAACCAACTGTCTCTCTCTCTCTCACACACACACACATATACACAGTTGAAGGGTGAGAATTATCTTGTCCTCAACCATGATTAGTACTTGTCTGGCACCAGATCACTCACGACCGTGTAGATTTCTTTACTGGCTCCCCTGTCTCCTCCTGGCTTGCTTTATCTATGAGCCCGGCTCAGAGCTGACTGTTGGTTGACTCAAATCCTGCAGTTCTCTGGTCTTTGAGCCATGAGAGGCAACCCAAAGGCAGCATCCTGGCAACCAGCCTCAGCCTTGGAGAACAAGGCAGCTTTCTGAAACTCTAAGCCTCAGCTTTCTCATCTGCAAACCAGGCTAACAAGCCCTCAGCAGGTTGTCCTGAAGTTCAGTGTTAGCATGACAGCGTTTAGCACACAGGAGAGGCTACGCAGTAGGGCTCTGAGACACCAGAAATCCAGGCTGAGAGCCCACAGTGGAGACTGGGACCCAGGCCTCCTGTGCCCCCTGCCCCCCATTCCAGCACAGCCACAGCCTCATCAACAGCGGTTACAGCGGAGCTCTGGGCCAGAAGCACGGGGAGACTGTGAAGGCCACACTCGGTCCCACTGCTGGCAGTCCACTTGCCAACCCCTACCCCGCCCCTTCCAACAGAGCTTCGGGACCCTCTTCTTCTCCATCCTCTTACTCCAGTCCTTCACGAGATGGGGAAGAATAAAACCAAAGTCAAAATCAGACCACAGCAGCTAGGTCTTCTTCCTTCCCTTCTTCCAACTTCACAATGAGAAGCCCACTGCAGTGCCAACCTCCACTGGAAGCTTACTTCCTGTGTTCAGCTGCCTAAAGCAGGAGACACAGTTACCCTGGTTGGAGTCTAAATTAGGAGCAAGAGATAGGTGATCAATGAAATACACAAGGCTGCAGCTGAAAATGAAAGTGTCCAAGTCAACACAGGGTTCCTGTTACAGAGAAATTTTCAGAGATGCTATTGCTCCAAGAATTGAGTAGCTCTAACAGCAGTGGGTAGCCTGGCTTTCTTTTGTTGAAAATAGGGAAACAAATGAAAAAACCCCAGAAGCCAAGTTCTCCTCTACCCCTAGATCCCCACCTTACTTTTAAGCCTTACTTCCACCCTGGGCACAGGGGCAGTGTGTAGCTTTCTTTGATGGTACCCCCGTGTTAGTCCTGTCCCCTCCCCACCGCCTTCTCCTCACACGCATGCAGGACACAGGTGAGCCTGTCCAGTAGCAGAGCAAAGGCAGATCTCCTCTCCTCTGGTCACTCACCGCAGGGCGCGTAGCGGCTCGCGGCCCCATGCAGCTCCTTGCTGGTATTCCTCATGCCCTGAGACACGCTGGGCCGGGGGTTCACGGGCGAGCCAGGAACCGTCGGCGGGGCTGAACTGCAGAGGCTGGGCCCGCACCCCTACTCCGTCCGTCCTCCTCCACCTGACAGGTATGCAGGAGTCTCACCATTCAGGTAGTGCGTGCACGCCCAGGCAAAGCATCAGCAGGGACGCGTCGCGGCAAGGTATATGCATCAGGGGCACGCACGCAGAGTAGCCAGCAGGAGACAGCAGGTTCCGAAGTCCCGCCCCGGTCCGGTGCTCCCCCATTTCAGGAGACAGGGGTCCCTCCCCGTCCCGGCCCCACAGGCCGTCTGACCCCGCTCACCTGCCGACCTAGGGTCTGGGTGGGTGCCACCTGCAGCGTCGGAGACCAATCTGTTCCCGCTGGCAGCGGAGACCAATCCCAAACTCCCAGAGAGGCGCGGAACTACAGCAACCCGCGTCGCCAGGGCAACGGCCTGGGCCAACCGGCGGCCGCGGAAGGAGCACAGGCAGCCAATCGTAGCAGTGAGAGGGCAGGCCAATCAGGTCAGGGGCGTGGCTTGGGCGCCTACAGTCAACTGCCCGGGGCTTGGGCGTTGTCTAGGATGTTGGCGCCGGCGAGGCAGAGCGGCTCCTGGGGCGTGCCAGCCTCAGAGTTCTGGTGAGACCTCCGCCCTCCTGACGACCTGGAAGACTCAACAGCGGTTTTCTTGTCCATCTCCGGTGTATTTAATACATTGTTAAAAAGAGGACGAGTAAGTACCTGGAAAACTCAAAAGACAGCCATTTCTGCCAGTTGTGTATTAGTAGTAAAATTACTGTGCACACGTCTTTCCTCATACGTTATTTTTTCAGTATTTCTGGTTTGGAAACTTGGTTTGTAGTCCTCTTGTGATTCCACCAGCCCAGGCAGCAGTTGGAGCTAAGGTCGTCTTTTGCTAAAAAAGAAAAATCACGGTGTCTTAACGGTGGTCATTTGGCAACTTTAAACAAGGCGCTGCTTTTGCTACTACACAAGTTAAGCATTAGAAATCTAGCAGAAGAGAGGTGATGTAACCATTTGGTAGGGAGAAGAGAATTCTTGTGATGGGAGTTTACTCTCACTGTGGGTTATCCAGCTTGCATATAATATTTTCAGGATCCTCAGCTGACCCAGTTTTTGAAAGTGAGCAAGACGTCACTTTTCAATGACAAATGTTTGTCCCATTGCAGGTAGACATGTAGACTCTCACGAAGTGTAACAGGGTTTCCTGTTGCATAAGTCATTGTTTGCCAAGGGGACTGTGGCCAAGAGAAGGTGATTTTTTAAAATAGTGTGTCCTGGGCTGATGAATAAGATCTCAGTGATCCTGCTGTAGAAACAAGATAACAGATGGTTCTGTGGAGTCAGTTGTGATATTTTAAGGAGACAATAAAAACTCTTGATTTGAAAAAAATTAAATAAAATAGTGTATCCTACTGATTGACGCCATCCTGACTAAAGAATATCTCTATTTCTGAGCTTGGTTAACAGAAGAGAAGGGAACTTACTCAAGCTGACAACCCTCTTTACTAGTTGAAATCATCATTTGAGCTATAATGAAGAGTGATCATTCCTCAGAATAAAGTTCTGACTTTTGGAATGTGACTGAAATCACAAGTATTTGCAGATGCCAAATCAAATAAGAATGTAAGTGAGTTGCTATACACATGAAAACATGACACAAGAAAAATCTATTATCAAGATTTCTCAGTGTTTATTTCCTATACTTTAACACATATGACCTTTCTTTCATACAACAGCCTGGAGTTTTTAGAAGGATCCAGCCTTTCCTCATATACAATCTCACTTCATGTACAGATTTAGTTAGCAGTTTATGGAAAGAAAATGAATTATTCAATTATTTGTAGATGTTTGTTTAAAATATATCTATTTTATATGTGGATAAATTCTTAGAGATTTATATCTTACATAGATATTGTATATGATTATATCCTGTTTATGGGTTTTGGGGGAAGAGGAAAATGTGTATTTGAGTATAAATTCCGATTTTTTAAAGCCCTGTGACTACTATCTCTTGGTTTGCTCAGGTTGTTGACTGAAGCTAATATTGCTAAACTCCTGAGATACATCTTCAGGCTCAAGCCCATCCTTGTTTCATCTTCCAACCCAGTAAATAAATTCCTTTCCCTAAACATTACTCCCAGGAGACTCAGTCCTCCATAATATGCAGCATATTCCTTAGACTCGGGTTTCATAAAATGGAGGAGGTTTCCACATTTGGTGTTTTCTGTTTGATGATAATCTGATCATTTCAAGACAAATGCTTCCTTTTCCACACATTTCTGTATTTCAGTATTATGTAGCAGTTTAGGTCTTCAGTCCAGTTGAAAAACAAGATTACCATCTGTGGAAACAAGATTATCATCTGTGGTTGGCATAGAATGAGACAGGATTTCTTTGTGTCCTTACCAGCATCTCCCCTCCATTATGTGTTAAAGTGATAATAATCTTTCTCTTTGGTAGAAAAACTTCACAGTTTACCATAAATTTAAACAGATTACCTTTCTTAAGATGTAACAGTAAAATGTTTTGGAAAAGTGACAGAGTAAAAACAAAATATAAACAAGTAACAGAACAGTTTAAATCATTCTAATTTAAATTCCTATAAAGTAATTGTATTAGTTTTGAAAAAATACAAAATAAATACTTCATATTTGAAAAACAGTAAGACTATTTATCATGTATGATTTATTATTTATAAAGCTAAGTTGTTGCAGGCTATCAGAAACCAATGTTTTTTTAATTTGTTTGGCCATGCCACTTGACTTTCAGGAGTAACTCCCTGACCAGGGATCTAACCCACAGCCCCTGCAGTGGAAGTGCAGCCTTAATCACTGGACCGTTAGGGAAGTCCTGGACGCCTATCTCCATGTGCTGCCTGCATTCACTGCCAGCCCTGCTGTAGGAGACAACTCCCAGTTTTTTCTGCCAGTCACAGTGGGTTTGATCACTGGGGTGGGGGAACCTAAGATCACAAGTGAACCAACTGAACCTGCGTGCTGCAACTGCTGACCTGTAGACCTGTACAAGGTGATGAAGGTCCTGCATGCTGTGACCAAGACCAGCCAAATAGATAAATAAATATTTTTAAAAATAAATAACTGCAAATAGGTTGGAGTCTTCTGCCAAATATAAGCTTTGGGGTTGTGGTCTCAAGTACCTCCTATTTCCAAACTTATAATGGCAGTAGATGAAATGCAAATAGAAAATAATTTACAACTCGGGGAAGTCATGGGATGCCAATAAACACGGAGGATCAGAGACCAACAAGAATGAAAATAGGAAACTCTTCACTGAAAATAAGTCTGCCATGCACCACCCTAAGTCACCATGGAAACAAGCCATGGAAAGATGGTGACTCATCAGATAATGAGTAATCTCCAGACAGGTTTTATTTTTAATTCAGTTACTTGAAAAGGCTTTTAAAATAAGTACATACTTAATGAAGTAAGTATGCACTTAAAAGACATGAATGAGGGTTTCCCTGGTGGTTCAGTGGTTGGGAGACCCTACCAACACAGGGGACACGGGTTTGACCCCTGGTCTGGGAGCATCCCACATGTAGTGAAGCCGCTAAGCTTGTGCGCCGCGGCTGCTGGGGTCCATGGGCCTTGGAGCCCATCTCTGCAGCAGGAGAAGCCGCTACAATGAGAGGCCTGCACGCTCCAGTTGGAGAGTGACCACCCCCACCCTGACTCCTGGCAATGAGAGAAAGCCCACGCACAGCAACCAAGACCAGCACAGCCAAAAATAAATAAAAATTTTAAAAATAAAAACCTAAATGAAAGAATGATAATGATTTTAAAAATAAATTTCCAAGCAAAAGAAACAAAGCAAAAACAGGTAAACAAGAAAAGCAGAACCCAGGAGAATGTGGGTCTTAACCACGTGGGGACAAAAGCTCAAACTCACCCATCAGAATGCAAAAAGAAACTCTCCTAAGGTACCGTTTTTAAAAAGCTATTCAATTGGCAAAGATTAAAAGGTTGACTATACACCATGTTGGTGAATAGGAGGAAAATATCATAAATTCCAGTGGAAACTTAGCTGGTAGAGTCTCTGGAGAGGACAAAGGCAACATTTATCAAAATGACAGACACAAAGAGACGTGGGCCCAGCAGTTCTTCCTCTGGCTGTGCATTCTTACAGATATACTCACACTCGGAATAACCTCAGCCTGTGGTCATTATTGCACACTGTTCTCAATATAAAAACGCTCATCAGGGTAAACGGATTGGTGCACATTCGTACACTGAAACCCTAGGCAACCATGAAAGAAAGAGAAAGATCAACTCAAAGTGAGTCACAAAAACTTCCAAGGAACTTCTTTGGGGGCCCAGTGGCCAGGGCTCCATGCTTCCAATGCAGGGGCCCAGGTTCGATCCTTGGTTAGAGAACTAGATTCTGCCTGCTGGAGCTAAAGATCTGTGTCTATGCCACAACAAAGACCTAGTACAGCCAAACAAAGCAAAACAAAACCCAAGATATATTTTTTCCTAGTATGAATTAATTTATTATGCTTGGCAGATTTTATAATATATTTTTAAAAGATTAAAAACTGTTTGAAACTTTCATAAAACGTTTACTGAGAGAGAAAAGTTACTACCGTAAAATCAAAGCTATTTGATCAGATAGCTTTGATAATCAGATTATTTAAAATTTCTTTTTTTCATCACCACCACCACCATCTTGGTCACCAAGATATATTTTTACCTGAAAAAAGCAAGACGTGAAACATGGTTTCTAGCAAGTTACCTTTCACTTTCAACAAAGTGAAGAGATGGATATATAAAGATAGATAGATGCACACATATATTTGTACATAAGTTTATGTACCTATATGTATATATGTACTTATGTACATAGGTACATATATATATATATATATGTATTTTTACATATGTATCCATTTAGTCAAAGCTGTGGTTTTTTCTAGTAGTCATGTGTGGATGTGAAAGTTGGACCATAAAGAAGGCTGAGCACTGAAGAATTGATTCTTTTGAGTTATGGAGCTGAAGAAGACTCTTGAGAGTCCCTTGGATTGCAGGGAGATGAAACCAGTGAATCCTAAAGAAAATCAACCCTGAGTAGTCACTGGAAAAACTGATGCTGAAGCTGAAGCTCCAGTACTTTGGCCACCTGATGTGAAGAGCGGACTCATTGGAAAAGACCCTGATGTGGGGAAAGATTGAGAGCAAGAGGAGAAGGAGATAACAGAGGATGAAATGGTTGGATGGCATCATCCACTTAATGAACTTCACTCTGAGCACACTCTGGGAGATAGTGAAGGACAGGGAAGCCTGCAGTCCAAAGAGTCAGACACAACTTAATAACTAAAAAACAAAAACAACAAATCATATCTTTGAAAGAAAGTAAAAGAAAATGGTACCATGGATGCAAGGAGAGTGGAGAAGTGATAGCTACCAGGCAGAAGTGGGTAAGTACTTTGCTGTGTATCATTTTACATCTTTTGAATTTTGGATCATTAGGTAAAAAAATCAGAAATCTCGGGAATTCTTGGGATAGGTCTAGACTTTGCCAAGTTAAAAAGAAAATTAGCGTTATTATAAAAATAGCTCCTACAAATTTACCCTGAAATCAGCATTTAAAAAAAAGAAAAACACCAAAAACAAATTAAAGGGGCAGTTTAGTGCTGTCTTACAAATGTCAACAGGTGGGCCATCGTAAGAAAAGAATGACAGTGGTAGAGAAGCAGCATTTCAGGAACTGATGGCCAAAATAAAAATCCCAGAATTGAAGAAATACACGAGCATGAAATATCTTATGCTTTTTTTCCTCTGAAAAGGAGAAAAGATTAAAAACCACGATCACGATGAGGTACACTGGTGAAACTAAAGAACATCAAAGATGGGGGAAAAAAAAAAAACATCAAAGATGAACAGAAAACCTTGAAAATGACCAGAGGGAAAAGAAAAACCAAGTTGCCATTCAGTCTGTCACGCAAAAAAGGAAAAGGAGAGATGAAGATTAGGCAGGATTTTTATCCCCAACAGCCAAGTCCTAGACTATGGAATAGCATCTCCAAAGGACTCAGAGGAAAATAACTATCAGCCTGCAATTTTATGCCCCAAATAAGCATGCTCATCATTCCCAACAGTTCCATTCCAGAGGTTCACCCAGGGAAGCCCTTGTCGTGTGCACGAGACAAAGGCAGGCATTGAACTTTCACTGTGTTGCTAAAAAACCAAAGCACCTGAACCTTACACTCATAAAAGACTGGGAGAGTGAATTGTGATGTGTTGCCTGCCATTCCAGTAAAGAAGGAATGCTGCCCGACCATCAGGCCATCGGTCACTGCCGACAGGACTCACAGTGGAGAAAAGCAGGATGCTAGCCCTAGAGAAGGCAATGGCACCCCACTCCGGTACTCTTGCCTGGAGAATCCCAGGGACAGAGGAGCCTAGTGGGCTGACGTCTATGGGGTCGCACAGAGTCGGACACGACTGAAGCAACTTAGCAGCAGCAGCCCTAGAGAGTTAAGGTCTATATCAAAGTCATGATTTCAGTGAGCCCAGACTCTTGCATCTTCCCATTAATGGAGAAGCATTAACCCATTAATTCAGATGTGTCATTAGCAGTCATCTTTTGATGTTCTCCTGCATGTTGGTCTGTGTGATTTTCAGCAAAATCCCCTATATATCCTAGCTTCTCCCTTAACTCTTTGGGACAGTTCCTGAGAGCTACCTGAGAGATTTTGTCTTGGTCTAGTCCTCAGGGCATTTGTGCTCTGCCACTTCAGTCGTGTATGATTCTTTGCAACCCTATGGACTATAGTCTGCCAGCCTCCTCTGTCCATGAGATTCTCCAGGCAAGAATCCTGGAGCAGGTTGCCATGCCCTCCTCCAGGGGATCTCCCAGACCCAGAGATCAAACCTGTTTCTCCTGTGTCTCCAGCATTGCAGGCTAATTCTTTACCACTGAGCCACTGGGAAAGACCAGCCCTCAATAAGACCACCGAAAAAAACTTAACTTTCAGATTGTGCGCTTGTCTGTCATCAACAGATGATGTATATGTAATAAAATACTATATGGCAGTTAAAATGAGTAAGCTGAAGTCAGTATTTCTCAAGACCAGTAATCTAAGAAAGCTGAGAGTGGCTTATCATTTGAATTTGCAGTGTGAAAACATTTATGTATACATATTTACGTGGTAAAATAAAAACGTTGTGGGAATTTTGTATATCAATTTTCATTTTTCTGTGGCAAAGAAAGGAGGCGAGTAGTGTTCTGGGATCTTCCATTTTGTTCATGATATTTAATTTTTTGAAAAAGTACTGAAGCAAGCACAGTGAAACAGACTTCTTGCGGCAGAAGCGTGGGGCCTGGGGGACCCTGGCGTTTCACGGTGTGTCTGGGAGCCGCTGCCGTGGAGCCTTGTGATCCACGCTCGGGCTGGGTGCTGGCTGGTGGGGGGGCCGCGTGCCCCGCTGCCTGCGCATCTGGCCATTGTGATGTGTCACAGAAGGTGATGCAACAGAAGAGCCCGGGGACCTCCTCCAGGGCTAGTTCACTCACAGATTCCCCCTCGAAGGAGAAACAGCCGGGAAGTAGGCAGACAAAACCCCAAGCCAATCCCAAACCGTTGTGTATGCTTTCCATCAAGCAGTGAAGAGGCCGCCAGCTACTCGGCGGGGGCGATGAGTGGGAGACTCACATCGAGGGGGAGCACCAGGCTCTTCAGGGCTCCCTCTGAGGACGCCAGTAGCAGCTCTATCGGGAGCGCGGTGCTCCCACAGCAGGAAAACCCCGACGCCAGCAGGTACGTAACTGCAGGGTGACCCCCTTAAGGCTTGATAGCGTGCATGTCATTCATCACCTGTGCTCTGTCCCCCTGGAAAATAACCTTCCTTTACAGAGAGAACCTCTGAAGATTTCTCTGGACCCCAGTACTTTCTGACCTGTTGTCTCCTCTCTATGGTAGCGGTTAAGGTTAATCACAGCAAGTGGGATGGGAAGATCCCCTGGGGGAGGGCGTGGCAGCCCATTCTAGTATTCTCGCCTGGAGAATCCCTTGGACAGAGGAGCCTGGTGGGCTACAGTCAGCGGGGTCGCAAAGAGTCGGACACGACTGAGCGACTAAGCACAGCATACACAGCATGTGGGGGACAAGGGTGATGAAAGAGGAGACGTTCTTGTCTAAGGAATGAGTTTCATCAGCAGTGTGGTTACGATTGCAGCCTGCAGCCTCATGCGTCACTCATTTGTCAGTGGCCTCCTGCTCGGTCTCTGCCAGGTGCAAGGTCCAGCACCATGCTTTACAAGTCTGTACACAGAGGGTGCTTGTTACATCCCTGGGTGAGAGCTGATTACACGGGCTGTTAGTGGGTGCACATCTTGAGCTAATAACTGTGTCTCCTCTAATTGGAAGAAGTGGGGAGACAGCAGGAAATCTTGGACCACTTGAATGGCCCAAAAACCCAAGCTTCATCAACTGTGCCCTTGGCACTGCCTGCTGGTCAAACAGAACAGAGAGTAATGAAATAACCACCCATGGATAACAGCTAAGGTTTAATGAAAAATCTTGGTTAACCTTTGGTTAATATTCATTTAAGCCAGTCCCTTGGGAGGGTCTTCCAACCTTTGAGTAGCCCTCTTTAGACAGTGGATCCCTCATGTGACCAATTAGATGTAAAGGATGGTGGTTTCAAGGTTTCATGTCCCTTCAGAGGAGACTTTTGGGAAGACCTTCTTCTCTGTTGCTTTTAGCCCATGTCTACGACAAACCAAGACAGTGAATTAAAAAGCAGAGATATCACTTTACCAACGAAGTCCATATAGTCAAAGCTATGTGTTCAAGCAGTCCGAGCTGGGATTGGAAAAGGATTTCCAGACAGAGTATTGCAGAAAGGAGAGTTTATTAAGAACAAAAGACAGAGATAGAGTGGGCACTGCAAGCACAGCGGGCCGACCTCCTGACATACCAGGGAGAGTAGGCAGTTTTTGTGGGTTAATAGCCAATTTTTATAGCCTCAAGGCAAAGAAACTTCCTGCAGGAAGGCTGACGCATTTTTGCCTAATTGGGAATCAGGAAGCTTGTTAGTGATTATTAGGGGGCTTTTGGCAACGGTTACAAAGGGGCTCAGTCAGCTCGGAGGTGACCTTGATTCTAGGCTCTGCTTCTGTGGTCTTGGTGCAAAGCCTCTCACTATGGCCTGGGAGACAGGACTCAACACTATGGTTTTTCCACTAGTCATGTGAGAGTTGGACCATAAAGAAGGCCAAGTGCCGAAGAATTGGGGCTTTCAAACTGTGGTGCTGGAGAAGACTCTTGAGAGCCCCTTGGACTGCAAGATCAAACTAGTCAATCCTGAAGGGAATCAACCCTGAATATTCATTGGAGGGACTGATGCTGAAGCTAAAGCTCCAATACTTTGCCCACCTGATGCAGGGAGCCAACTCATTGGAAAAGACCCTGATGCTGGGAAACATTGAAGACAGGAGAAGAAGGGGACGACAGAGGATGAGATGGCATCACTGACTCAATGAACGTGAATTTGAGCAAGCTCCCAGAGATGGAGAAGGACAGGAAATCCTGGCATGCTGCAGTTCATGGGGTCCCAAAGAGTCAGACATGACTTAGCGACTGAACAATAACGGTAAACCTTGGACAGACAATGGGCACTATTGCTTTTTGTAAGTGGATGAGCTACTTAAAGATTCTGTATTGGGTGGAACTAGGTGGCTCATGCTGCAGAGGAACAAAATTTGCCCCCGACCGTGTGTCTCTTTGGCCTGAGGGTTAATTTCGGCTGATATTTTTTTCTGGTTTTTGGCCACACCTCATGGCATGCGGGGGAGAAGGAAATGGCAACCCACTCCAGTATTCTTGCCTGGAGAATCCTGTGGACAGGGGATCCTTGAGGGCTGCTGTCCATGGGGTCACACAGAGTCGGACATGACTGAAGTGACTTAGCATGCATGCATGCATTGGAGAAGGCAATGGCAACCCACTCCAGTATTCTTGCCTGGAGAATCCCAGGGACAGAGGAGCCTGGTGGGCTGCCGTCTATGGGGTCTCACAGATTCAGACACAACTAAAGCGACTTAGCAGCAGCAGCATGGCATGAGGGATCTTAGTTCTCAAGGAATAGAAAGCTAGCCCGCTGCAGTGGGAGTTCAGAGTCCTAATCACTGGAACCACCCAGGAAGCCCGTAGGCTGATTATTTTGAAGAAATGGAAGATCAGGAGGTCCTCTTTTTGTCTTGGCAACCCACTCCATACTCTTGCCTGGAAAATCCCATGGATGGAGGAACCTGGGAGGCTGCAGTCCATGGGGTGGCAAAGAGTCGGACATGGCTGAGCAACTTCACTTTCCTTTCACTTTAGCTGCCTGCAGAACTGGGATAAAGGGATTGTCTCTGGATCTGAGTGGGGTGGGGGAACCAGCAGGGCCCAGATATCAGAGTCCACTCTGTGTCCCTCTGTCTCTGCTTTTATTTACCACGCACTTGATTTCCATCCCCACGTGACTTGCCTTCCTCCCCTTTGAAGTCCCAACCCCTACACCCTCATCCGTCTTTAGCCGAAGAGGACACTTGAAGTGACGGTTTCGGAGATTGACTTAGTTTTCCTGGCCTCTCTCACCATACCTCATAATACTTGTGTTTGGTTAAGCTGTGTCCTGTCACTTTAATTCTTAGACCAGCCAGAGGAACCAAGAAGGAGAGAGGAAAACGGAAAACGTTTTCCACCCAGCGGTCCTGAGTTGGTCTCTACTCCCTAGGGTATTGAGCCACTTCCCCAGCTGCGGGGTTACAAGCCAGTTTGATGGCACAGCTCAGGAGCAGGTCACTGCGGGAGTCATCTGTCCATTTGCTCAGCAAACTCAAGCAAATCGATGCAGGAAATGGTTCCTGTCACATGCGCATAATGTTAAACAGCAAAATATAAAGAAACACACATAGGTAAACATGACTGAAGCAGCTTCCAGACCTGAGGTCACTTCTTAGCCATTCTGCATGCACCTGGAGCAGGGAATTCTGCCTTCCCGTTGATGGACACTAGTTCATAAACAGCAGGTCAAAACTCCAAACTCAAACTGATCAAGTGACTTGCTGAAACTCAGTTGTTCAGTTGCTCAGTCATGTCTGACTCTTTGCAACTGCATGGATTGCAGCACCCCATGGACTGCAGGAAGCCAGGCTTCCCTGTCCTTTACTGTCTCCCGGAGCTTGCTCAAACTCATGTCCATTGAGTTGGTGATGCCATCCAACCATCTCGTCCTCTGTTGTCCCCTTCTCCTGCCTTCAATCTTTCCCAGCTTCAGGGTCTTTTCCAATGAGTCAGCTCTTCGAATCAGGTGGCTGAAGTGTTGGAGCTTCAGCTTGGCCCAGCTTTGTCATAGGCAGGCTCAAGGCCATTATCACAAGACTATGAGTGTGAGTCTCCAAGAGACTGACCCCTGTTTGTGTGGCCTTGTGGACCCTGAGGGCTGGTTGCGTGTCAGGCATCTAGCTCCTTCAGTGATGACAGCTGGGCATGGTCTGGGTACCTGGCCCTAAGGGTATCACCAGCTGAGATCTGCCTCCTCAGCCTGTCCTGGGCACTGGCCAGTGGTCCCAGACTGGGTGCTGGATGATAGCTCCCAGGCAGGGTGACCAGCCTGCACAGGAACCCCATCCCCTTGTTAGCCAGGGCCTAGACCTCAGAGTACAAAAGTCAAGCCTTGGGACCTTGAATCAATAACATGAGGGCTGACATCATTTTGCTTATAGATTTGTTAAAAGCCACAAGGAGGCTGGGAGGCAGAATTTAATGCTCCCCTTCCCTTTCTTGTCCATGGCCTTTAAGAGTGTTATACCTTTATATAAAAAGTTGCAGGACAGAGAATAACGTTTTTTTTTTTTTTTCTTTTTTTTTATAACGTTTGTTTTGATGGAGGTTTAAAGGGACTCGTGACCTGACTATTCTGACCCTTGTGGAGTGCTGCACAAAGGACCCAACACCAAGAAGTTTGCAACAACTCTCCATGCCCCTCCTCCCCTTCCCCATGAAGAGGCTTTGCTGAAAGCCTTAGAAAAGCTCAGTTTTTTTAAAGGCACTAGCCACCTGTCTCCTTGCATGACGCTGCAGTAAAACTCTCTCTGCCCCAAACTCCACGTTTCCGTACTGTCCGGCCTCACTGTGTGACCGGCACAGTCGCTGACAGCTTCACCCCCTCTTCTGAGCTGTGACCCAGTGCTTCTCCTGCTACATCAAGGCTTCTGTAATTAATGAGTGATTCACTGTCACCTGGTTTTGATATATTTTAAATAGAAATTTCAATTAGCCATCTTAGAGGACTTTGTCCCAAAGCTCCTAGCCTTCTGTTGCAGTGAGGTTAGTCTATTTTAGCCATTTTCTTTTTTTTTTTTTTTCCTTCTTTTAAAAAAAAATCTTTAAAGTTGGATGTGGAAAGGTCACTGCGATCACTTTGTAAAACTCTTTGGAAAGATCTGCTGAGACCGGACATGCACAAACCCAGCAATTTCTGTCTTGGTGAAACAGAGCAGGACCCCGTGGTACCTGTCCCAACACCCCTTGTCCTCCGCCTTTTGTCTGTGGAAAACTTTAGTCGGAGAGTAAGTTTAATCAGGGAAATGAGAAATAGGGAAACAAAGGAAAATGCAGGAGACCGAGTACAAATACTACAGTCATCAAGCACAGTCAAGGACCTTCCTGTTCCTTCTTTAGTTCCTGATACTCTGAGCCATATCCTGTGAGCTGCCTGATAGATAATGAAACCTCAGATAGAAGACGTTAACTGCATAATGACCAGGCTGACTTTCCAAGGTGAACCCATGACTTAAACTGCCGAAATCCTGAGAACTGACCTCAGAGACATGGGGGGAAATGGACCCTGAAACTGAAGATTAACTGTACCCAAAACAGCCAAGATGATGCTGGTCAGACCACCCATGACCAGGTGAAGACAGCTGTCGGAGCTGACTGCTGTTTCTGCATGGAGCCGCCGCCTCCTGTCTACAGACCTCTTGTCCCGCTGGTTGCCAGTGGGAGGGCGGGGATGGCCTTTGGATCCACTGAGTTGTGCGATCATCTGTGCTTTTTTCTCTATGTATGTTGTATTTAAATAAAAAGTGAGGGAAAGGATTAGGATTGCTTTAGAGAATTTTATCAGATAGCTGTTCATTGTCATAGCTCTTTGGACTTCCCAGCTGGCTCAGCAGTAAAGAATCAGCCTGCCAAAGCAGGAGACACAGGTTCAATCCCTAGGTGGGGAAGATCTCCTGGAGTAGGAAATGGCAACCCATTTCAGTATTCTTGCCTGGAGAATTCCATAGACAGAGGAGCCTGGTGGGCTACAGTCCAGACTCTGACTTTTTTCTTTTTTCTTCCGGGCTGATGATACTTTGCAGACCTCTAAGATAACCTCTTTTGCTTTCTTCTTCATAGACATTTATAGGCATAAAAACATGCAGCAACAGGGCAGTAACGTGTGTGAAAGAGGGGTGTGTATGGTGTATGTATGTGTGAATACGTATACACACCACTCTGAATGCTCTTTCCCCTCAGTTTTACAGAAAGTGGATTAGGAGTTAAATGAACTCACATGCTCAGCCTAGTCATGTCTGTCGACTTGGCTGTAGAGGTTAAAGTTCAAATTAAAGGTTAAGAGTGGTGTGTTGCTAAATTCTTTTTGCTGTTATTTTTCTTCTTTTTAGGTTAACTCGACCATGGAAGACTGTCATGGGCATGGTGTTTATACTGACTTTGCTTCTTCTGGGTGAGTCTTGCTCAGTAATGATCCTTGAAGCCATTTCACAGGGTGTGTGTATGATGAGAGAGATGGCAGGGGAATGACTAGCATTTGCAATAAGTGGCCCAGAAACCTGGAAGTGACTTCGTGCTCGTAACCATTCCTTTTTCCCCCTCCCCCTCAGCATTTGTTTATTCATTTGTTAGGCTGCATCAGACCTTAGTTGCAGCGTGAGCAGTCTTTGTGGCATCATGTAGCGTCTTCCCTTGTGGCTTGTGGGCTCAGGAGCTGCAGCACTCAGGTTCCCTTGTAAAAGTAATATGGGTTTCTTTGTTGAAAACTTAGTGAGAACTTAATTTCTCTTAGAATTGTTACCAGGTCTAAGCTCATTCTGTCTGACACAGGACAGGTCAATAAATCGGGAGGCAAGGTGTCGAGGCAAGAAATAGAGGCTTTATTCAGAAAGCTGGGCATCCGAGAAGATGGTGGATGAGAGTCTTGGAGTACTATATTATGGGGTCTGGATGCCAGTTTCTTTTACAGAACAGAGAAGAGGAGGGGAGGAAGTAAAGTAAAAAGACCATGAAGCGAAAGCGTAAGTCACTCAGTTAGTCCTGCGATGCCAGAGTAGTAGTGTGGTAGCGGTAGTCGCCCAGTTGTGTTGGACTCTTAGAGACCCCATGGACTGCAGCCCACCAGGCTCCTCTGTCCATGGGATTCTCCAGGCAAGAGTACTGGAGTGGGGTGCCATTCCTTCTTTCTCCAGGGGATCTTCCCAAACCAGGTCTCCTGCATTGCACTCTACTCCAGTACTCTTGCCTGGAGAATCCCAGGGACAGAGGAGCCTGGCAGGCCACAGTCCGTGGGGTCTCAGTCAAACACAGCTGAGCGACTAACAATACCCACTACTCCTCCTCCTGCATCGCAGGCAAATTCTTTACGGTCTGAGCCACCTGGGAAATCAAAAGGCCGTAAGTGATGCAAAATGTCTCCTGGTTTGGCCATCCTCAGGGAAGGGATGCATTCATTTCTTTTTCCTGCTGTCATTCACAAGAGGGCAGGATCAGAGTGTCTCCAAGTGAGCTAAACAAAGACAGGTTACTTTAACATTCATGCAGAAGGGAAGGGTTCCCCAAGGCAAGCCATTATGTATAGATAGTATCTTTTTAACAGACAAAAGCCATGGGAAGCAATGATTAACAGAAACAGATCAAATATGGAGTTAGATTTTTTTCTTCCCTGTTACAGAATCACGGTTCAAAATCAGAGAAGTTGCTTTGAAGTTAGGAATCCTTTATATTTTTATTGCAAACACATACAGTTGATCTTTTCTAAATCTGGGTGACTCATCTTGAAGGATTTTGACAATCAGAGACTGACTCATCACGGGGTTCTTGAAGAAATGATAGAACACATGGTTTGCCATTTTCTGGCTGTAAATATCACACACCATGAATCCCAGTACAATGGAAAATCGTTTTGTGGTATGTGGACACCTTGAATTGCAGAATGTCCAGGGAAGTCAGAGTTTCACCCTGTTATTGCCACAAAATGCCGTTTTACACAGCAACGGGGGCTGTTCAGTGGGGCTTGCGCGTGGATGCCTGGACTGAGGGCTCTCTGAAGTCTGTACCAGCCTTCCTTCAGCTGCACCTTAGAGCCCTGAGCACCATCCCATCTCAGCAGACCTCTAAACTTCATCTCGAAGATTCCGGTTCTACTGAGAGCTACACGCTGTCTGGCTCTGTTGCTTCCAGCTGTCTGGTCTTCACCTCTGCTGATTTCAGCTTCAGAGCTTCAGCAGCCCTCCCCCGACCCCCTTGCTCCCGACTCATGAGCCCTGTGCCCTTGAGATTTCCCGCAGCCCTACCCCAACCCTGTGTCCAGTGATCCATGCCTGCTCTTCTGAGGCTCCACCTCCCTGCCCATGTCAGGGACACGCTGTGTGAACAGTAGAACTGTTTGTGCTCAGAATTTTCCTTGTTTTGGAAAGGAATGCCCTATATTCCTTAGACATTTTTTAATGTTTTTTTTTTTTATGTGGACCATTTTAAAAATCTTTATTGAATTTGTTACAATATTGCTTCTGTTTTACTTTCTTTCTTTTTTTTTTTTTTTTTTTTTGGTTGAGAGGCATGTGGGATCTTATTTTCCAACCAGGGACTGAACCTGTAATCCCTTCATTGGAAGGGGACGTTTTAACCACTGGACTGCCAGTGAAGTCTCTGCTTTGACATCTTTTAAGAACAAAATGTATACATCTTAGTGTGTGCAAACTGCTTCTTTGTCTTTCCCAACTATAAGGTTACCCATTTGCCCACAAAAGTGCCAGATCCTCTTTAGCCACCACTGATGTGTTGATGATTTCAATGGAATTAAACTGAACTTGTATCCATTTTTATTTACTAGGGTGAAATCCACATAATATAAAACTGACCATTTTGACATGAACAACTCAGTGGCATTTAGTGCTTCACAATGTTGTACAACTACTACTTCTATTTCCAAAATATTTTCACCAACCCCAAAAGAAACCCCACACCCCTTAGTCACTCCCCAGCATGCCCCCACCCCAGTCCCTGGCAACAATATGCTTTCTAAGGACACACATGTTCTGAATGTGTCATATAAATGGAATCATACAATGTATGGCCATTTTTGTTGGGCTTCTTTCACTAAGCTCATGTTTTTGAGGCTCATCCCAGTGTAGACGAATCATTCCTTTTTGCAGCTGAATAATATTGCAACGTATGCAAACGTAAATGCAGTTTGTTTACCCATTCAGATGTGGATGAACATCCACCGTGTCCACCCTCTGGGTGTTGTGGATAGTGCTGCTCTGAACATGTGTGTACACGCATTTGTTTGAATACCTATTTTCAATTCTATGGGTGATACACCTACCGGTAAATTGCTAGGGAGGGGCTGCCCTTGTTTTCCAGAGAAACTGCCCCGTGTCACTTTCCCGCTAGTAGTGTGTGACGGTCCCAGTTTTCCCACGTCCTCACCGACACTTGCTATTCTTTTACAACTGCAGCCATCCTGGTGACGTGAAGTGCTGGCTCACTGAGATTTTGATTTGTATTTCCCTAATGCCTGGTATCTAGAGAAGGACATAGCAACCCACTCCAGTATTCTTGCCAGGGAAATTCTGTGGACAGAGGAGCCTGGCAGGCTACAGTCTGTGGGGTTGCAAGAGTCGGACATGAGTTAGTGACTACACCACCACCACCACCAGTGAATGATATCAGCTAATATTGAGCAACTTTTTATGTACTTGTTTGCCATTTATACCTCTTCTTTTTTTTTTTTTAACCTCTTCTTTGGAGAAAATTTCTTCTAGTTCTTTGCCCATTTAATTGGGTTTTTGTCTTTTTGTTGTTGACTTGTAAGAATTTTTTAAAAATATATTCTGGATACTAGACTCTTCTCAGATATATATTTTCTTTCATTCAATAGATTATCCTTTCACTTTTTAAGTAATGTCCTTTGATGCATAAAAGGTTTTAATTTTAGTGATGTCATATCTAAGAATACATTACTAAATTCTAGGTCATGACAGCTTACCTCTGTGTTTTTTCTGAGAATTTTATGGTTTTCACTCTTATGTTTAGCTAATTGATCCATTTTGGTTATTTTTTATATATAATATGAATTTTTAAATTTCATATTCACTTTTAGCAAATGAATTAAAAATGAACCAGATTCATTTTTTAGCAAATAGATATCTTGTTGTCTCAGCATCATTTGTTGAAAAGATATTTTTCCCCATTGAATGGTCTTGTTACCCTTGTCAAAAAAATGCAATCAACTGTAGATGTATAGGCCTAGCTCTGGATTTGCAATTCTCCTCTTTCTCATCACACTTGATAATTTCAATTGTTCTATTTTTGAGTTCACTGAATCTCTCCTTTTCCCGCTAAGATCTGCTGTTGAGCCCATTCAGTGAATTTTTTCATTTCAGCTATTGTACTTTACATCTCCAGAATTTGTACTTGTTTCCTTTTATAATTTTTCAGTTGATCTTCTCATTTCACTCACATGTAATTTCTTCAGTTTTCTTTAGTTCTTGGTCTGTGGTTTCCTTTAGTTTTTGAGCCCATTTAAGACAGTTGGTTTGCCAAGTTTTGTCCAGTCAGTTCAGAGTTTGAACTTGCTCAGAGATGTCAGTCAAATTTTTCCCCTTTAATGAGCTGTACTTTCCTGTTTCTTTGTATGTGCTGTGATTTTGTGTTGTAACCCAGACATTTCAGTTTTATAGCACAGTAACCCTGGGAACTGGCTTCTCCCCTTTTCCAAAGGTGGCTTTGCTGCTTGTTGAGGGCTGTAGTCATTTGTTTCGTGATGGTCACTTTTCTGACATCACAGTGGTCAACCAGTGACCTGACAGGTTTCCCAGAATCAGGAATAAGAAGGAGAGAGCAAGGGTGTGAGAGCTGCTCTCTCAGTGCGGGCTCTTTGGCTCTGGCCGGGACTCTATTTCAGGGCCAGCCTGGGCCACCCACAGCTCTGCCATAATCTTCACCTCCTGTTTGCATGCAGCCCACAGACCCACCCAAGGTGCAAGCCTGGGGTCTTCTGGGACCTTCCTTGAGCACGCGTCCAGTCCTGGACACTCACACTGCCCTCCGCCTTCCCTCCCAGGCCCTTGCTCCCATGTGAGCCTTCATCCTCTGCCTTCTGTCTGCCATGATGTTGGATCCGTCTGCCACCGTCTCCATTCACCGTCCCTTGCCCAGACGGTCATGGCCAGTTTGTCTTTAATTCTTTGAACAGTCATTATACCCTCCCAGAAAATTTTTCCAGTGCATGGGAGTGGATGGAGGCAAAGATTGGCCTCTGCACTAGACAGTCAGGGCAATACCAGGTAGATGAATGTGTAAAGTCAGAGTAGCTGAAGAACAAGGTCTGTGTTAGATCCCTGGCACAAGCAAGCGGTGCCAGCAATATTGGCCGGCACCCACACAGCCACCGCCACCATTCTGGGAGATGGTATGCAAGTGAGTGATAATGCCACACTGCTCTCTTGCCAAAAATAACCTGCCCTTTCCTTCAGTCCTCTGGTTGATGCAAGCTTGTGATTAGCTTTTGGAATTCCAACAAAGTTCATCTTGTTAGTCTTTGCCAGCTGATGATTGTTTCAATTGGAGGAACAATTTTTTGAGCACCTTTTGCTGCCATTGAAAATTACTGTCACTCAAGAACCTGATATAGGACTTCCCTGGTGGTCCAATGATAAACAATCTGCCTGCCAATGCAGGGGACATGGGTTTGATCCCTGGTCTGGGAAGATCCCACATGCTGAGGAGCAGCTAAGCCTGTGAGCCTCAGCTGCTGAAGCGCATGCACCATGAGCACGTGCCCTTCAACAGCAGAAGCCACTGCAGGGAGAAGCCGGAGCGCTGCAGCCAGAGAGGAGGCCCCTCGGTCTCAACCAGAGGAAATCCCACACCGCACCGGACACCCCGCACAATGAAAGATTAAAGAAAAAGTAGCTTGCTATAGCTTCCCTGCTTAGAGGAATTTCTATTAATATATGTTGTCAACAAAAATTCAATTAACAATCACAAAGAAAAAAGAAGAATTTTATTCAAGCTAAACTGAGGATTATATCCCATGAGACAGACTCTCAGGAGCTCAAAGAACTGTTCCATGTGTTAGAAGTTGAAGGCACCGTCATATACATTTTTGAGACAAAGGCTCATGTCAAAATGACATACTGATATTTACATAAAGTTCATCCCCATCTTTGAGGAGCTGTGGTTAATGTGTGATATGCATGCACACCACACATCAAGGAGGGGGGAGGAGGCCCAAATGGACACAGAGAAAGAACTTTTATTTTTTTCTTGTGCTGTCTAAAAATATAAATTGTTTCATCAATGTAAAATATAAGTATTTCCAGATAAACTCTTTAATCAAAGTTGATCTTTTCTTTAACAGGATTTATAAATCACATGAAGCTTAAAGAGAAAGAGTTTCCTCAGAAATCCAGACAAGTTTATGCTCTAATTGCAGAATATGGTTCACGGCTTTACAATTACCAGGTGATGTTTCCTTAAATCATTTTGTCTGTTACTCATTTAAAATCTAATGTGCTACAAAGAGAGTCCAACTAGACGTGTGTTATATTGGTTTTGCATGTGAATATCTAATAGAACATCTAATAGGTGTTCAAGCTGGATTTAGAAAAGGCAGAGGAACCAGAGATCAAATTGCCAACATCCACTGGATCATCAAAAAAGCAAGAGAGTTCCAGAAAAACATCTACTTCTGCTTTATTGACTATGCCAAAGCCTTTGTGTGGATCACAGCAAACTGGAAAATTCTTCAGTTGATGGAAATACCAGACCACCCGACCTGCCTCTGGAGAAACCTGTATGCAGGTCAAAGAGCAACAGTTAGAACTGAACATGAAATTACAGACTGGTTCCAAATCAGGAAACAAGTACATCAAGGTTGTATATTGTCACCCTGCTTATTAAACTTATATGCAGAGTACATCATGAGAAACGCTGGGCTGGATGAAGCACAAGCTGAAATCAAGATTGCCGGGAGAAATATCAATAACCTTAGATACTCAGATGACATCACCCTTATGGCAGAAAGCGAAGACGAACTAAAGAGCCTCCTGAGAAAGTGAAAGAGGAGAGTGAAAAGGTTGGCTTAAGGCTTAACATTCAGAAAACTAAGATCATGGTATCCGGTCCCATCACTTCATGGCAAATAGATGGGGAAACGATGGAAACAGTGAGAGACTATTTTGGGGGGCTCCAAAATCACTGCAGATGGTGACTGCAGCCATGAAATTAAAAGATGCTTACTCCTTGGAAGAAAAGTTATGACCAACCTAGACAGCATATTAAAAAGCAGAGACATTACTTTGCCAACAAAGGTCCATCTAGTCAAAGCTATGGTTTTTCCAGTAGTCATGTATGGATGTGAGAGTTGTACTGTAAAGAAAGCTGAATGCCAAAGAATTGATGCTTTTGAACTGTGGTGTTGGAGAAGACTCCTGAGAGTCCCTTGGACTGCAAGGAGATCCAACCAGTCCATCCTAAAGGAAATCAGTCCTGAATATTCATTGGAAGGGCTGATGCTGAAGCTGAAACTCCAATACTTTGGCCACCTGATGAGAAGAACTGACTCATTTGAAAAGACCCTGATGCTGGGAAAGATTGAAGGCAGGAGGAGAAGCGGATGACAGGATGAGATTGTTGAATGGTATCACCAACTTGATGGACATGAGTTTGAGCAAGCTCCGGGAGTTGGTGATGGACAAGGAGGCCTGGCATGCTGCAGTTCATGGGGTTGCAAAGAGTCAGGCATGACTGAGAGACTGAACTGACTGAGTGGTAAAGAATCCACCTGCCAATGCCAGAGGTGTAAGAGATGCTGGTTCAATCCCTGGGTCGGGATGATCCCCTGGAGGAGGACATGGCAACCCACTCCAGTATTCTTGCCTGGAGAACCCCATGGACAGAGGAGTCTGGCGGGCTGCAGTCCACAGGGTCTCAAGGAGTCAGACAGAACTGAAGTGACTCAACACACATGGGTACGTAACTGACTCACTTTGCTGTTCTCCAGACACTGACCCAGCGTTGTAAATCATCTACACTCCAATAATGTGTTTTTTTTTTTAAGAAATAATGTTGGGACCAGAGATCTATTAAGTGGTTTTTATAACAAAGACATCCTAAAAATTCTCCACAGTCTCCAATCCCTGCAGACTCCTGCCATAGAGTGGATGTTTCTGATTCATCAAATTTTTCTCCTTCCCAGTTTCTCTGTTTTGCGATGGGAATGTCTATGGTGTGCTGGTCCCAGTACTGTATTTTGAAAGTACACAATTTGTTTGATTTCACAGCATCTTAGCTGGAGGGGAGATTGTTTTGGATGGATTGTGCCTGGGGTCTCATCCATATCTGACTTGGATGATATTTAGTTGAGGCATTTAACTTTACACATAAGTTGATGCTGGAATGAATGAAGGCTTGGGGGTCTGTTGGGATAAAAGGATGTATTTTGCATGCAAGAACATTAATTTGGGGGACCAGAGTTAAAATGTCATAGACTGATTGCTGTGTCCCGTCCAAAATTCATATGTTGAAACCTAATCCCAAGTATTGGGGCTTCCTTTTGAGCTCAGTGGTAAAGAGTTCATCTGCCAGTGCAGGAGACTCAGGTTTGATCTCTGGGTCAGGAAGATCCCCTGAAAAGGAAGTGGCAACCCACTCTAGTCTCGTATTCTTGCCTGGTGAATTTCATGGACAGAGGAGCCTGGCAGGCTACAGTCCGTGGGGGTCCAAAAAGAGTTGGACATGACTTAGCAGCTATACAACAACAAACCCCAGGTATTAGGAGGTGGGTACTTTGGGAAGTGATTAGGTCATGAGGGTGGAGCCCCCTGGCTGGGATTAGTGCCATTAAGAAAGAGACCCAGGACTTCCCTGGTGGTCCGGAGGTTAAAAATCCACCTGCCAACGCAGGGGACAGGGGTTTGATCCCTGGTCTGGGAGGATTCCACATGCCGAGGAGCAACTAAGCCCATGCCCCACAACTACTGAAGCCTGAGCCCAGAGCCTGTACTCCGTAACAAAAGAAGTCAGCGCAGTAAGCCCACACACCACCATGCAGAGTAGCTCCCATTTGCTGCAACTAGGGAAGACCTGCGCACAACAATGAAGACCCAGTGCCGTCAAAATGAATGAGTGAAAGGATAAATCAATTAAACTTAAAAGAGAGAGAGACAGCAGCAAGCTTAATGATCTAACCACAGGTGCAATCTGCAGTCATTGTATTAGGTTAGTCAAAAAGTTCCTTTGTTTTTTTTAGGTAAGAATAAAAGACACGTTTTTCATTTTCACCAAGAACTTTATTGAAATGTATTCATCATTTTGTTCCTCTTTCTTTTGCCATTTTTCAGGCAACTTCATAATTCAATCTTCCCAAAATGTTTTATCTTTTTGAGCAAAGAACTGTTCCATGTACCTTTTACAGTTTTACAGGGAATTGAAACTTTTTCTCTTAAGAGAATTTTATAAAGACTGAAATAAATGGAAATCCAAAGATGCAATGTTTGGTGAACAGAGCAGATGGATCAGAACTTCCCGGCCAAGCTGCAACAGTTTTTGCCTGGTTATCAAAGAAACATGCAGTCTTGCAGTGTCATGATGGAAGATTATGCCCTTTCTGTTGACTAGTTCTGGACACTGTTTATTGAGTACTAACTTCAGCTGGTCTAATTGAGAGCAGTACATATTCATTTGGTGTGGCTGATGGTGGTTCATTTCACTTGCCCCACAGTCTCTTTAGCTTTTCATTGCTCATCACAATTTGTTTTAAAAACAGACCATTTTCATTATGTTTTAGCAGAGCATCACAGGTGGAAATATGGTCAAGAAGGCTTTTTTCGCTTAAATTATGTGGAACCCAAACATCAAAGCGATTAACGTAACCAAGCTGATGCAAATGATTTTCAACACTTGATTCTGATATTTTGAGTATGGTGGCTGTCTCCCACGTGATGTAATATTGAATGATCTCACTTCATGTCTTGATTTGATCCCTGTCAACTGGTGTATCCGAATGTGGAGCATCGTTCAGCCAGAAATCTCCAGCACAAAATTTCACAAACCACTTTTGACATGTTCGATCACTCACAGCAGCTTCTGTGCAAATCTTTGTTTCTTTTTCAGTTGCATTTTTATCTTTCTTGATATATTAAATATGCCAAAAATGGTATATGCCTATTATGCCAAACATACTATGCCAGAAATGTTCCTTTTTTCTTCTGTCTTAAGTATTAAAATGGCTACACAAAAATTCACCAATTTGATAAGTTTTTTTTAAAACGTACACTTGTATGTCAGCAGTCACAATACAATCTAACAAAATTGTTTCAAACGAAGTTAAAGACAACTAAGCAATACTAGAGCCATTTTATAGGAAAAGAACTGAACAAACTTTTGGCCAATCCAAGAGCTTCCAGGATTCACCTGAAAGTTACAGGGTTTAAAATTAGATGACTTGCATGCATGCTAAGTTGTTCAGTCCTGTCTAACTCTGCGACGTAAGGACTATAGCCTGCCAGGGTTCTCTGTCCATGGGATTCTCCCGGGAAGAATATTAGAGTGGGTTGCCATGTCCTCCTCCAAGGGATCTTCCTGATCCAGGGATCCAATCCGCTTCTCTTCTGTCTTCTGCATTGGCAGGTGGATTCACTGGGTGGTGGATTCTTTACCACTAGCACCACCTGAGAAGCCCTAACTTGCGACAGTTCAGTTCAGTTCAGTCGCTCAGTCATATCCGACTCTTTGCCACCCCATGAATTGCAGCATGCCGGGTCGCCCTGCCCATCACCAACTCCTGGAGTTTACCCAAATCCATGCCCATAGAGTCAGTGATGCCATCCAGCCATCTCATCTTCTGTTGCCCCCTTCTCCTCCTGCCCCCAATCCCTCCCAGCATCAGGGTCTTTTCCAATGAGTCAGCTCTTCGAATCAGGTGGCCAAGGTATTGGAGTTTCAGCTTCAGCATCAGTCCCTCCAATGAACACCCAGGACTGATCTCCTTTACGACTGGTTGGATCTCCTTGCAGTCCAAGGGACTCTCAAGAGTCTTCTCCAACACCACAGTTCAAAAGCATCAATTTTTTGGTGCTCAGCTTTCTTCACAGTCCAACTCTCACATCCATACATGACCACTGGAAAAACCATAGCCTTGACCAGATGGACCTTTGTTGGCAAAGTAATGTCTCTGCTTTTTAATAGGCTATCTAGGTTGGTCATAACTTTCCTTCCAAGGAG